ACACCATCGTAGGCCCTGTCCTCGCATTATCAAAGCCGCGTCCGAAAGTTCTTTCCTGACATGGTACTTGGAGTCGAGTGCATCTACAGGGCCATCTCAACATATGTATTTCTGCTACCTCCAGCACCTTTAGTAGCGGTAAAAGTAAGGGCAATCATTTACTTCAAAACTCCTGGATAAGTCCGGGTTTTTACGGCCTGGGTCGCCCTACTAGCAGCCAGCTAGCGAAAATATGTAGCTTATTAGGGTCAGATGATCCTTCTAACCTATTCTATTTCAAATTTGGGCCCCAATGATAGGCGCTTTCGTACCGTCCCCCTACAAGTCCACTGTCTGCATCTCTTGAACGGGTATGTGTACGAACGTGCGTCCGAGGATGCGCGCGGCGAAGTTCGTAACGATTTGAACGACTCTAGCGCCTATCATTGGAGCCCCAATTTGAAGTAGAGTAGATCAGAAGGATAATGTGACCCTGCTGAACTACTCTACATTGAGTTTGTGCATACACCCTCGGACTCACGTTCGTACCGTCCCCCCTCTTGAACAGGCGTAGTCGCCGCGAGTGCAGAATCTCGTACGCGAACGTGTGCCACGCCTCCCACATTGTCGGAGGCGCAGTACAAGGGGTAAGATTTGAATTTTCATGGATGATTACGCCGCGGAATCGCTGTCACAAGCGCACCGTCACAGTCACCGCAGTCTCGTTTATCGGCTTTTGAAATACAATTGACCGACAGTGCTAGGTTTCCGCAAGATTTACGAGACCTATGTATCGTTGAATATCGGGTTTGTTCTGTAGGATAGCATCGTATTCATTAGAACCGTGTGACACAGTCAGAAAGGAAGGAAAATAAGAGCATGCCAGAGGATATCTGAAGTATTTATGTGCTATATCTAAGGTGAAGAGAGTAACTGATGCATATGCTTTGCTTACCACCTTCCAGTGTCAGAGTATTATTTACGTGACGTTGGACAATTCAGTGGATTCAGGAGAATGGAGGACTGAATGGACCTTGACCTAGCTCGAGCGAATGGAGTAATAGCGTGCAGCACCTTCTTTGAGATAGGGAGGCCCAGACCGTAGCCTTTGCGGAAGGAAGGAGACAAGCGGAATCGACCATGCTCAAGTAAATAGATCGTTTCGAAAAACTGTACTATTTGGAATTTTCAAAATGAATTTAGTACTATCTCCTGTTTTTCGGTAGGTCTTCATCAACAGTTTTATGAGCTAGTCCCTATACTGCCTGACTTTCGGCATTTGAACTGTTTCTAGGCCTACACCAAACTGAAGGAATGGCTTCAAAATGACAGCACAATAATTTTGCGAGTTGCACTATCGGGAACGGACAGTGATGCCTTAAACTTTCTCAATCACCTAACGACTAAAAATAACTTACATACAGTTAAACCTTAAATAAATAAATAAAGCGTTTATCTCAAATTAGTAAGGTGGTTAAATATAGGGAATAACAAGCAATAACACAATGACAGAGAATAAGTGAGAAAGGAGAAGGATTAAATATATATTAAATATATAATATTAAAGATTCAAATAGCTTTAAAGAATAAAGTTTTTGGCGTTAATCAATCCCGTCTGAGCGATGCGCCCACGCATTCGACTTCCATTCAGAATCGTAGTGGCGTAACGAATGCATATGTGGCGTATACAATGAGTTACGGTGGCCAGCCGATGTAAAAATGAGTGCTTCTATCTTCCCAGACGAGTCTGGTACAAACTGACCAACTCCGAAGGGATGGGAGGCTCGGTTGGTGACGGCAAGCCGTTTCACTGTTCCCGCGCGGGAGATCACGCGCCACTATGGCCCGGTAAACGACGTTGTAGAAGTTATATAGGAAGAGTGCGAGAACTTGAGGGCATTCATTCTTTGATCAATCGTCATCTTCGCCTTTCTCACTTATTCTCTGTCATTGTGTTATTGCTTATTATTCCCTAACCACGTTACTAATTTGAGATAAACGTTTCTCATCTAATAGTTAGCGCCTGAGGGATTCCCGCGTATTTGGTAGCGTAACAAAGATAACCGCGTGGCAGGAAACAACTGGTGCTTGTTATTCAAGAGAACTCCCTAAAGTGGTGCATCGACCAAATTGGCACTCTAATCGACTCGGCTAACAGAAGGTGAGTTCCAAGAACTTATAAATCGGCATTTTTATAAGTGATAGTAAAGTTAGGAGTTGAGGAAAGTTTCACTGGGAATTCCAGCTCCGAAAATCGGAACCATTCCCAAGCAGAAGAAGGAGTTCTTGCTGACGAAAGAGAGATCTTACGCATGAGAGTCCGCTTCATTTATACAATTCGATACTACAAAGAAGCAGCACATTTGGGATAAGACATCTCAACGTTTCCTTCGAAGAATGGGACAGAGAAGTGAAA